TCATCGCACCAGTTTCCAAAGAATAACCCAAACGCCGACGGACTGTCCTTGCGACCGGAAGTTCAGTCCATGAAGTATTAGATGAATCTCCGAAACGGTCACCGGGAAGCATTCGGTTATCGGCCTTGACAGGTTCATGCTGGTTTGCTAATGTTTTAATAAAGTCATTATGTATGCAAATGTTGATTGATACAGGGTCTGCCGTTTCACTCATTTCAAAAGATATTTTAGGAAATCTAGGTCTTTGTGATCAACACTTACAAAAAGTGTCTACCGAACTTAAAACTGCAGATGGGGAACCATTACAAGTCTATGGTCAAACTGAAATTACTTTGGGTTTGGGAAAGAAAGAGTTTAATATACCCGTAATAGTGGCAGAATTAGGTGATCTTTCAGGAATATTAGGTTTAGATTTCTTATCTAAAAATGATGTTTTATTCGATCTCGGAGAAGGTATATTGATTTTTCCTGATTTTCAAGTCCAGCTAGTGAGTGAAGATAATTTTGCTTGTGCGCGGGTTTATCTCGCAAAAGATATAGTCATTCCAGGTTCCTCTGAAATTTTTGTAGAGGGTGATTTAGGAAATTCACGTTTTAAGAGTTTAGAAGGTTTAGTTGAACCTCACTCTGGTGATAGTTTAGGTCAGGAAATATGTGTTCCAAAGTCCCTAGTAAATGTCAGTGATGGCAAGGTCCTTTTTTCAATATTAAATCTTAACCCAGAACCTGTCCAAATAAAGAAAAACACTCAAGTGGCGACCATTCAAGGTATAACAACTGCAACCGATTTGGTTGATAATTTCGAACAATTAGAGTGTAATGAAACTCAGAAAACTGAATGTTTACCTGATCATTTAAAAATCATGTTAGACAACGTTTCGTCTGAACTTACAGAAAACGAGAAAAACGAACTAATTTCGGTTTTATACCGATATACTGACGTGTTCGTGGGTTCAGATGGAAAACTAGGTCGTACTACCAAAGTTACTCATACAATAGACACTGGTAATAATAAACCAATCAAATTACCCCCACGAAGATTACCTTTAGCTCAGCGAGAAATAGCTGAAAATGAAATACAAAATATGCTCGAACAAGATGTTATTGAACCAAGTTTTTCTCCATGGGCATCTCCCATAGTTTTGGTTAAAAAGAAAGACGGAAGTACTCGATTTTGTGTCGATTACCGCAAATTAAATCATATAACCGTCAAAGATGCGTATCCCCTACCCCGAATTGATGAGTCAATAGATGCACTGTCAGGCTCAATGTACTTTTGTACACTTGATATGGCTAGTGGGTACTGGCAGGTGGCAATGAACGAAAACGATAAAGTAAAAACTGCGTTTGCGACCCATAAAGGACTTTACCAGTTCAAGGTCATGCCTTTTGGCTTAACAAATAGTCCTGCGACCTTTGAAAGATTAATGGAATTAATATTACATAGTTTACAATGGGAACGTTGTTTAGTTTACCTAGACGATGTGATTGTTTTCGGAAAAACTTTCACAGAAACGTTATCAAATTTGACAAAAGTTTTTGACCGATTCAGGGACGCAAATCTTAAACTTAAACCTAAAAAATGTATTTTATTTCGTGAAGAAGTATCCTTCTTAGGACACGTTGTGTCAAAAGATGGTGTGAAGTGTGACCCTAAAAAGATTTGTGCAGTTCAAGACTGGAAAACCCCCGAAAATGTCACAGAAATAAAAAGTTTCTTAGGACTAGCCTCATATTATAGGAAATTTATTCCTGAGTTTGCTACAGTGGCATATCCACTCACTCGTTTGACTCAAAAAGATGTTCCATTTACATGGAATAGTTCCAGTGAAAAGGCATTTCAAACACTTAAGAAACTTTTGATTTCATCCCCAGTATTATCATACCCAAATTGTCATGATACATTCATACTCGATACGGACGCTTCAAACGACGGAATTGGCGCCGTACTTTCACAAATTCAAAACGGCGAAGAAAGAGTCATTGCGTACGGCAGCAAGACATTATCTAAAACTCAACGCCGTTATTGTACGACCTATCGGGAATTGCTAGCAGTAGTCGTGTTTGTTAAACAATTCAAACACTACCTATGGGGTAGAAAGTTTTTACTTCGTACTGACCATTCGTCCTTAAAATGGCTTCGTAATTTTAAGGAACCCGAGGGTATGATAGCCAGATGGATATCTGTGCTTGATACTTATGATTTTGAGATACAGCACCGTAAAGGCTCTTTGCACATAAATGCGGATGCTATGTCTAGAAAGCCCAGACGTAGATGCCGTCAAGAAAACTGCGAATGCACTATTTCTACTGTAAATGCGATACAGTCTAAAAAATCAAATCATAATACTCGCAACGTAACAACTAACTGGTTAGATAAGTCGTCTGATGACTATGTGTCAAAACTTCAACAAAATGACCTTTCTCTAAAAACCATGAGTGAAATCATACATAGCGGCACAAATGTTTTAGATCCGGTTTATAGGACCGATCCTGAAATTCGACAATTATGGAATTTGAAAGATACTCTTGTATCAAAAGATGGTATTTTATATCGTCAATGGTTCAGTATTCCGGAAAATATCCATAAATTGTTATTAGTGGTACCAAAGTCAATAAGAAAAGAGATTATGTATCAATTACACAATCAACGTGTAGCGGGACATTTGGGTCGCGACAAAACTTTAGCTTCTATACGCGCTAGATTTTACTGGCCTGGTATGTCATCTGATGTAGAAAGATGGTGTCAAAATTGCACTGTGTGTGCACGGCGTAAACCAGGGCCAGGTCCAGGCAAATCCCCAATGCAGCATTGCCCCGCATACCGACCATTACAATGCATTGCCATTGATATAATGGGACCTTTACCCATGACAGAAAAACATAATGAGTATATAATGGTCATAGGCGATTATTTTACCAAATGGAAAGAAGCTTTTGCTCTACAAGACCATACTGCACAGACAGTTGCAGATGTTCTAATAAACGAATTTATATGTCGTTATGGTACCCCATACCGTATTCACACTGATCAAGGCAGAGAATTTGAGTCTCAATTGTTTTCTGAATTATGTGAAAAATTTGACATATATAAAACCCGAACTACTCCTTACCGGCCTCAATCAGATGGCATGGTGGAACGATTTAATCGTACCTTACAGCAAATGCTTTCATTATTTGTCAATAAACATAGAAATGACTGGGATGACCATCTGCCCTATGTTATGATGGCCTATCGTGCCTCTCTTCATGAAAGTACAAAATGTTCTCCAAATTTATTAATGTTAGGACGTGAAATAGACTTCCCTATTGACATAATTGCTGGTAACCCACCAAATCATGAAGAATCATGCATCAATGAATACATTGAATTCGTAAAAGAAGCTATGTCTTCTGCATTTCAGCATGCTGGAGAAAGTCTTGAAAGTAGCTTTAAGCGTCAGAAAAAATATCATGATCAGAATATAAAACACAGAACTTTCAATGAAGGTGACCTAGTTTGGAGGTGGTATCCTCCTTGGGCAAAGCAAAAGTTAGGGTTAGGATGGCGTGGTCCATATAAAGTCAAAAGAAAAATCAGTAATGTCACATATCAAATACAGTGTTGTAATACAGATGTTTTAGTTGTGGTTCATGTTGACCACCTTAAACCCTATTTTTCAGAAGAGTTAGACTCATCCAATTATGAACTCTACAATACCTTTGAGGTACAGACCGAGTATGACTCGAGTAGTGAATCACAAGAAATTATGACAAACGAACAAGAATCCTACAGGGAATGTTCCCAACACACAAGACATGGTCGTAGAATTAAACCTCCAACTCGTTTTTCACCATAAATCACAGTGTACATAACTAGGCTCTTGCATGTGAATTGTGTTAAATTTCAGTTGATAGTTATAATACTAACATATCATTTTATCATGGCATATTCATTTATCATCTTCACCCTCATTATTTGTTATGTGACAATACAGAGATGGAAAATTAAGTCTTTGAGACTAATCACTCGAAGAAATTATAACTTAAAGTTAAGATATATGAATTCATACACTCACCCTTTGAGGTCATTTTTGTAAACAAGGGTACATGTATAAATAGTTACAGGTATACTCATGTACATGATATTGTATTCATGCATGGAGTAATTCAAGTTATTGTTTCGAAGTACAGTAGGTCACAGTACCTGAGTCATGACTGATATATTTCAGTGTAGCATAGTGATCAGATTATTGCAATCTGTGTGCTTATACATACATAATATTTGCTATTAATATTTGTTTGAACATAGGTTTGCTATTTTACAGTTATTGTATACTAAATAGCTTGATGCCTACATAATTATACAATTATTGCATACTGAATAGTTACAGTTATTGTATACTGACTAGTTACAGTTATTGTATACATACTAGTTAGTTACCTACATATAGGAACTGATTGATGAGAGGAGACAAGATATATTCTCGACATTGAGTAAAATATATGACCTGTTGTCATTGTGACATTTTAGAAAGGTCCGAGTGTATGCAATTCATAGATTTTTCCTTTGGGGTTATACATTTTGTTCACAGAAAATTTTGTTAAAGAAAATATACAATACACTTTATTAGTGTTTACATGTACTTAAAATGGTAAGCAACCTGTTTGCTATTTCCTCAAACTATGTGTTTATTTATTTACAGTTTCATTTGGATCATCCTTACAACATTTTCATCATCATCATCATTATCATCATCGTTTGATCCCATCCTTATCATCGTTGTCATCATCACCCCTTTATATAGTCATGTCAATTATGGACACTGATGTCCTTGACCTTTTGGTCCACGATGAGGATCTTGCGGAACTTCTGGAATCTTCATCCTGCCCCTTTGAGTTCCATTCCGGAATGAGTTGTCCAGTAGTGTCCTGTGGTTTTACCTCCTTTACCACCAGGAAGAGTTATGCCAGGCACTGGGAGACGAAGCACAAGCTCCATCATGTTATCTTCTATTGTTCCATCCCAGGATGTAAGTCTACTTGCAAGCGAAAGACAGATATGCGTTTCCACCTCCGCAGTATTCATCACTTGTCCCAGCTGTCTCTAGAGAATCATCTCCAGCTGTGTCATCATGAACTCAAACCGAATAGTAATTACATTGATCCTGGCAGCCTGAAATTTGTTTCTCGTCTCCCAGTTGCACCGACCACCAGCACCCTGGAATCTGCTCCGCCACAGGCACCTGCGACCTCATCTGCTTCTTCCGTAAGTTCCTCTACCATCAGTTCATCCTGTCTGCAATCCGCCACATCATTGTCTTCTGTCATTTCATCAGAAACGCCATCCGTCATTTCATCTTTGCCTCCTTCGTACGTTGCTGCGCCTGTTGTGTCATCTGCGACCTTGCCAGACGTTCCTCCAGTACAGTTTTCCACCGAAACCGCTAGCCAAACCGAGGAGTCCTCACCATATTCGTTATATTCCGTCCCTGTTGAGGAGCAGAAGTTAGAACAGTTTATATTTGATATTGATTTTGAAATTGAACGTTTGATTAAATTGAAAGAAATAGCTAATGCAAGATTGAATGAGAGGAGTGAGCTTATGCGTGAGAGAGAGTTGAGACGAGAGTTAGAGAGAGAGAACAGGAGATTGAGGAGTGAGATTGACAGTTTGAAAAGGGGTGAGAGTGAGCGTGAGAATGCATATTTTTCTAGAGACGAACGTTTGGAGATGGTTTAGAGTGCGAACGGCAGTTTGAGTTGTTATAGAAGAAATAGTACTAGCTTGTCTAACCGTCTTGGTAAGAAAGTTGTATTAGAACCTTACAGGATTTTTGAAGAATAAATGTTGGTTTTGTTTTTATATATGTATGTCAACTCAACTTATCTTACCATATGTCATTCATCATCATCTTCATGTTTTCATTATTCCATTTTCATGTCCATCTTCATATTTTCTTCCTGTGTTTTCCTGAAATTATATATATATACATGTACAGTGAGCTATCGGAGAATTCATTATATATTCTCATTGCATTATCATTTCATATTTATATTTCATATTTACCTTGATGTTGGCCGGACTTTTCTCGTTCCACATTTTACGTTATTCACGTTTTCTCTACCTTAATATTCCGCCAGTGTGTCAGTGACTTTATTTCCGGTGATTCCGATTTAGACAGTCGTACCGTGTCTATATGTGCATGGACAGTTTGCACGAGGTTGTGTCGAGAACTATAGTTATAGTTTTAACAAATTATTTATTTGTCATTTGAATTTGTGCTTAAAATTTGAAGACAATGTTGTGATTAGTATTATTTTCTATTGTATGTATACCTGAATATATATGTACAGATAAATAGTATACAAGCCTGTGTATTATTATGTGACAATGTGTTGATAGTTGATACAGAGATATGACATATGTGCATATTGTTATAGAGTTTAACCTTATGTGATATAATTTATCTGTTGTTTTGTAATATAATGTTGTTGTGGATTAACTTAAATTGTTGATTGTTTTAACTATTGAGCGAGTATATGAGTGTATACATGTATGCAGTATGTATATGTATAATTACATATGTACTCTTCATATTTTTGAGAGAGAGACTTGAGTGATGTATTTATTTGCATATTTGTTGTTTTAATATATTGATGATATAATCATGCATACTTTATATCTTGAGACTTATGTCTTCGACATAAGGTCTTAAGGTGGGGGGAATGTAGTGGAGTCGTATATTTTAATTAGAGTTATCTCTCTTGGATCTTGGATGGGGTGCGCGGTTGTCATTGACAACCGGTGCCACCGTCTGGGATCCGGGCGTTTCCGTTCCGCGTCCTAGTTCAGTTCGTTCTTTTTAACTATCAGACTTAGACGTTTTTAGGAGTTTGTCTCCAATTTATTTATTTATCTACATATTTATATTGTTACCGTAATATTATTCGGTCAATTCCGATTACTGAAGTGCTGAATCTATCTATAAAGGTAAATACTTGACTACATTTCCCTTGCATTTCATTGTTTACTTGAATTGTTTCGTTATTTGTTGATTAATCAAATACTATTTATCTAAATAAATCAAAGTCATTTATCATATCTGAATAATTGTTGCTGTTCTTTATTGTTTACGATCTAGATCTAGAATCTCGTGATAATCCGGGATAATTTTAAGTGGACTTTATTACAGACCACTGTTACAATAGTTTAAGAATCGTGAAACTGTATTTATCAGATAATCTAATATGTTTTGCAATTGCAAATGATTGTTTTCAGTGTTAAGTATAGTTTACGGTTCTGAAACATAGATTATCGCATTAATTATGGTTTACAGATGTCAAATATATAGATTAGTATATGTTGTTAACTATAGTTTACATGCCGTAAACTATAGTTTATCGACTGTGAAACTATGTTTAGCTCATTTTTATGAATTTGGCGTGCCATATATAGCCTTTGCTTTAACGGGACATGGGCACAGTTTCAGCTAAAATTTCAAAAATTATTTTTTTCCATTTTTACAAATATATAATTAGGGTTTTTCTAATGATCATAAAAATTTAAACATCAGTTGTCCAGATAAAAGACAGATTTAGAGCTCCAAACCTTTGTTATGTAAACATGGTATGTGTCATGTTTTTGTTTACACAGGTTAATATACTAAATAAATATATGTTCGTTCAAAGTATATTTCAAATAAAAGGTAATTTTAAATACGATTCGACAGTTACTATTGACTTGCTGAATTTCATTTTGTTATAAATATGATATTTTCTATCTATGTAAACAAAAACAAGGCACGAGGCTTGTTTACATTATGAAGAAATTTAAGTTCTGTATCTTTTTTGCTAATCAACAAAATTTTTTTAATGATGTATAAATTTTTGCAAATCAATAGATGATGCCTTAGGTAGGAATTGCATGTAAACGTTAAAACTGGTTTTAAAAAATCAGTTAAAACTGTGTCCATGCCCCTTTATTATACAGGTCCCGATAAGGAAATAAATGGAAAGGTATGTAGTTTGTATTGAACTGTTATGCCAAAGTAAAGACTATAATTGATTGATAAATTACACTTTACTATTTACTACATATACATGTAGATAAAGCTATCTAAAATAGTTTTACCTTAATCTCAGTTTCTTGTTTAAATAATTTCAAATAAACCAGAACTCACTGCCAACATTAACACACGCACCAGCGGCATATTTACTGATATTAGTGCTTCCCCAGCTTGTATAAACCGAAAGTAGGAAATTCAGGTCAACATAGGGTAAAGGAATTGGCATTTTATCTATGATGTTTAACGATATAGTTAACGAAGTTTTCGCTACAGTTCAACATGTTATTGATCATAATACAATTCTCAGTGAACTACAATCGAAAACATTCAACAATTTCGTTGTCCAGAAGGTCGAAACAGAAATGCGTTTGTTGAAAATTAATGTAAATTGTGTTCAAGTCTGGGAGAAATTTGACCGATTAGGACGAGAGAAAAATCCTGCATGGAAGATAAGTTATTTCCTGCCTGTTTACACTGGAAGTTATTCCGAGGGACTGCCGAACTCGAGCGACATGGACAGACTATTAATAGCAAAATGGATAAACATTCAGGAAGAGGGTACGAATAGTCCTATTGCACACGATAACCGAGAGAGTGATGTCATGAATTTCTTTTACACAACAGAGGATTGTCACTTGGGATATATTAAAATCATAATTCCTAAAATAATCACTCATATTTTTAACGACGCTCAAATAAGAAGGTACAAAAGAGTGTCCTATTTACGAAGCAATTGCTTTGTCCACGACATGAAAACATGGATCGGTGCCGCACCACTTTCGGAGCTCCACGGACCTTCGCTTACGTACAGCGGGTATGAGGGTTTCTCCTACGATGAAGTATACGGTATAAGGTTAGCAGAGTGGCCATCTCTGGCGAAAGGCACGCTGGACAGGTGCAAACAGAAAACTCAAATTGATTTACAGAACTCTGATGTATACGCCGTTCCAGTTGGATATGCCCTAAGTATAACAAATGACATTGAATGGAGGTTATCGTTTACAATGGCAGAAAAAGCCTTAATGAAAACATGGTCTAACACTCATTTAAATTGCTATTATTTATTGAAACAACTGAAAATGATACATCTTGCTAACCCTGATTGCCTCAAGTCCTATTATATTAAGACTGTATTGTTTTGGATGACAGAGACTCTACCCGAAACATACTGGTGCCCAGAAAACCTTCTAAAGGTATTTGTCAAATCGCTGCGTATCCTTCAACGGTTCCTTTCTCAACATTGGTTACCAAATTATTTTATTCCAGAGAATAACATGATTGACCACAAATCAACAGAGGAATGTCGGGACGTGTCCGATAAGATATCCTCACTGTTTACAGGCAGAATTGATGTCATCATTGCAGAACTTATATGCGAGGATCAGATAGAGGATATTTACGATCTTGTAGGCTTAAAAAGAAGTATTCTACCACCTCGTACTACTAAAATTTGTCTACTTACTGAGAAATATTTACAGACTTTAAATGCCGAAATCTCGGGAAATTTGTTAGATGAGGCAGACATATTAAGTTCTTTGACTACATGTACAATACAGAATTTGAGTCAATGTAGAGCAATGGAGGAAATCATAGAAGACTTGCCACATTCGTTAACAAATGACGTTTCAGGGTCATTTGCAGTAATTCTACGTCGACTTGTGGCAGATTTTTATCACTCTCAGAAGACGAGGCAGTCACACGAAAAAGCAGAGAATCTGTACAAAGAAAGTCTCTCACTCAGATATCCCAGTGGGTTTGATGACAAATTAATCTCTGGGGTAGCTCATCTCGCTTTATTCTATTATCTAAATGGCAACTTTACTGCTGCGCTGGACTCAATAGAACCAACTTTAGAAACCATCAAGCAGAGCATCAGATCGGACACGACGTGTGGTTTCCTACATATAGCCATACCTTACTGCACAGATCGAGTGTGGAGGGATAAAATTTTATATGACATTCTGCAGTCGCAGTCTTTCTATTATCCGTTGTACATTAATGTGATTTCACTCATTCTTTATGTCGCAATAAGATCTCTTCTACTCGTGTTTGAGCCACGCTCCAAAGAAAGGGAACTCTTACAGTTGACTGAATTACTTGTCCAATGTGGACTTCAGAATTTGATCCCCTGTTTATTAGACACCTACGATTACCTGATATGTGAAGTCAGGGAACTCTTGCTCTCTTTCTCCATCCCTACACATACTTTATCTACGTATGTGATGCCGGAAATTACTACAAGAACTGAAAGGCTGAAAAATTACCACAACTGGAATGAAAATGAACCTAAGTCCACACCAATTTAATTTCTAGTTCGTCGGACATCTGATGAAAAAATTGGGGGCGAACGATCAATTAAACAATATTTACATTTTCGAAGACAATTTATTTTGGCAGAACATGAAAAAAGTGAGCGGACAATTATATTTGTTGTACTTTTTTTACTCACTGTTTTTCAATTTTAAGGAGGATCTCTACACCTGTAAAGTAGAACTGATTTTAGTTGCATGCATTTGTTTCTAATAATAGGCCCCATATCCGATAAAATAAGGTTCCAAAGTATTTCAATTTATTTTTTTAGAAATATTTGAAATATTTTATTTATTTTGTTAAAATCCCTCCTATCAATTTTTTTAAATGCCCATTGCTTTAAATTTCTCTTCAAAGTTTATTGTTATAAAATATTGAAATAATAACCAACAAAGTTAAAAATAAAATCAACATAATTTTTATTTAAATTTACAAAAATAGACAAAAGAAAAACTAAAACAGCATTTTCTTGAGAATAGCTGGTTGGATCCTCTTTAATATCTGATAAGATATATAATATCAAAGGGTAAAAACAATGAAAAAAAGAAATTGTGAAAAATTGAAAAACTGTCAAAAATTTATTAACATCACAAAAATTCAGGTTTGAGAGATCCGCTTTAAGAGTGGACTCAAATATCTTGGTACTGTTTTTTTTTTATAAACTTCAGATAAACTCTACTTGCACAAGTATTTAAAAAATGTCATACAAGGACATTGAAAGAAGTTCGTATTGTACATGTATTGTTTTTCAATTAGTTTAAGCGAAAATCATGGCGTTTCCAGTCAATGACAAAGACATGTATTTAGTGAATTCATGGTATTGAGAAAGGTAGATTTACTTACCGTTTTTATCCAACTTGCATGTGTTATCCAGTGCTATATATAACAAAACAAGTTAAGATGGTAAATGGCCAAAAGCGGTAAAAGAAATTCCTATAACCAAATGCACACTTCGTCTAAAATCTGCACGTTTCCTAGCCTTTCCACATAAAATTGTAAAACCTGAAAAAAAAAACAATATTTAACATTTTCAAATATCTTTCTACTAATATTACTTAAGACTGCATTGAATTTTGATATATTCATAGTGAGAAAGAAGAAATTATAAATAATTGAAAACTACATTTTATTCTTTTAATGAAACAGTTGTTCAAAGAGGGAGGTAATCCAATTACAAATATAAGACTGTAATTTCAAAGAAAGACAATTCATTTTTATGAAAGATAACTCTAAAAAATCAATAAACCTTATAGTCTTTTTCAAGAATTTGTGTAGCAATGATCCAACTGTGTACTGTCTGAAAATTAAATAAATACTCATTTTAATGACTAAATATTCTTAGGTTACATAGTTATAATGAAATATTAGGACAATTTTAATCCCAGTAATAAATTACATCCCCCCAAAAAAGCAGTGTATTGAAATAGGAAATGTAAAATGCACTTACTAAGGATAAACAAATTTCCGTCCTTCAAATCTGTATAAAATTCCTGTTCTGTTAATTCATAAACATCATCGTCCTTCTCACAACCATCCAGCCAATACTGCACCTGTTGTAATATATTTGTATAAGTCAGTTATGTTCATAATGAGGCAAAATATATTAAAATCTACTTTACTTAAAGACACAGACATGTAACACAAAGTAAGACATTACAAATACAAGACATACATATATAATTTACTTAAAGATAAAATGCTTTAATTTCTTAAATATTTAAAGTATACCATATTGCTAAAATTTTAACCACCTCACACCACTGGAATGTTATACTTCATTGTAACGAATTGTGATGGGTTTTGAAAGGAATAGTTTGAAATAAGAAGAAATTTTACCTATGTGGAGTTTGAAACAATACAAGAATAAAAATGTGTTACTTATTTTCAATTTAAAATTCTATACACAAAATGATTTTTTAATTTACTTCTCAAATAAAGTGTACCAAATGTTTAAGTACTGTTTATCACTCCATAGTCCATACCCCTTTTTAAAACACATTCAATAAGTTAAAAGTATTTTAGAGAAAATAATGTAGGTGATAGGAAGAAAATTATTTCATACTATGCCATATATTAAAAAAAAATATTTGCTATTTGCCCTCTACAGGCTTACTGACTAAAAACTTTACATTTTTTTTTGTATTTCCCTCATCAATTAAATATATATATATTTTTAAAATATGGCCCTAGTAATCAGTAAATCAGGTATACTAAAATTCATTCACTCAAGGTCTTGTAATGTTTACAAAGTCAAGTCAAATGAAAAATTATATTTAAGATATGCATTCTTCTTTTTCCTTTTTTGATTGAATTAAATTGAATATTGTCTTAGAAATATAAATAATTCATGAAGAAAAACTAAAATAACTTGACACAGTAAACAAAACTATCATTTATGAACTCAATACATATCTTATAAAGGTTTGGGGATGTGAAATTGTTACAGTGCAGTGTTTTCCCTAAGAACCAGCAGTCAGCCAAATTGACCGCTTTGACTGATAAAAATGCTGCCTGCAAATCAAACTTTGTTGTAAGGTTAACATAGCCTTAGCCTGTAACAACTCATCTTTAACCCATTACTTTAAAATAAAGGGAAAACACTGTCAGTGATTTACAAAATTTTCATTGTGTGATTTACTTACATGCAAACACACTATACCACTTTAAAAAGAGTTTAGTGTAAACTTCATATTAAAATGCTTAATACTGAAGTAATCATAAATTACTTTGAATATTCCATTCTCATAACCAACAATTTCACCATTCCATTCGACATTTTCGTATTCATCGTTTGTCCAGGTATGAATGATTTTTTTCCTAACTAGTGTAGATGGAATCACTTCCCGTTGGGTCCTTTCCCTCTTTAGCTTTATGATGGTTTTCAAGTTTTCAATTAATTTTTCAATCGTAAAAAGTTTTCCTTTTTCTGAGAATTTTGTCAATCCTTTATGTTGTTTTTCTAGAGGAAATATTGTTTTGTATAAGTTCAACTGCTTCTTCACCGCTGTAATTTTATCGTTTTTCTTCTTTATATGTTGTAAACTGTTGTCAACCTTGCTTTCCGTGTCCCATAATCCATCGTCTGACATCGAATCTACTGCTTTTGTCAATTTTTTCTCTTTTCTTTCTTTCATTGCTTTTACATTTTCTTGTCTTTCTCTTATAATTTTCAGATGATTTTGAAATAACAATTTTTTTTCCAACTTATTCTTACATAAAACTTCCCTCCCTTCCTTCCTAATATTTCCTAAAAGCTCTTTCTTCTCTGACACTGTCTTTTCCTTTAACCACTCACTTGTCTTATTTTCACTAAATAAAATATGGTTCTCTACACTAAAAACACTAGATGTTGGCGTATCCATCATTTTTTTGTCCAACCTGCCCATTAGTCTTTCTACAGAAATATTATTTGTGCCACAACTATTACATTTATTTACAACATCTTCAGATGGATTAAAATATTTTCCAGTTTCTTCAATAAAAGGACTAAACAGTGACAATGACTTGGTTTTTAAAGATACACAAAACTTTTTCAAAATCGAACATGTTACATCATTGTAAAAATCATCATATAAAACCTCCTCAAATTCATCAGTTGGAAGAAAAGGACCATAAAACAGAGAAATTTTTCTTGATAAAAGTAAAAAAGGTTCCTGTATACACAGATCTAAAAATTGAACAACTCTTCTGTACACGCTACCCATAGACAAAGCAGTGGGTAGCTCTTCTGCCTTGGACCAATAAGGTTCAGAAAATGAATTGCATATAATACCAAGTGCTCTTAAAATACATAAAATATGACTGTTTTGTAAGCCACACACGATAAAATCAGTACAAGAATTCAAAGAACTTTTTGTGGATAACAAATACTGTAAAATATGCTTTCTCATACCAAAAATTCCTACAGCATTATAAAACAAAACATTAAATCTATTCCCTTTGACTTTCACCACAGGTACTTTGTCAAAACCTTGTTCTTTTACATAGGTTGCTGTTAAAAAGGGATCACCTGTTCCATCTTTAAAAAAAAGTTTTGATACACATGAAATGAGATAAAAGGTGTAAGATTCATTACTTCTACAAGATACATTGTTAAAAGAAACATTTACATCTTTTTCAAAATTTAAAACTTCTTTCAAACACTGATCTGAAAACTGTAAAAGAGCATGTACAGAGCATTTAAAAGAATAAAAGTCCTTGTCACAATTAAAATCATCCCTGCATTTTTTCATTAAAATACCGTTAACTTTCTCTTCCGTAACACTACGGTCTGTCATAAAACTGGAAATTTTATTTAAAATGTCACAAGACTGACCATCAGTTATTTCATTTAAAATATTTAAAGTAGTTTGGACGTAAGTGTCAGCCTTGCCGTCACTTACTTCTTTTAAACCAGCAGTAAAAATATTATTATTTTTGGCTATTTTCACACCATAAAAATGTCTCCCTTTTTTTGTGGTAGCATCTCTATGCATAGTTAAATTTTCTGTATTTAAAAAATTTTCTTTTAACTGTTTTTTACATAAAATACCCATTTCATTGCTAAAAATTGCATTAGTACTCTTAGATGGCAGTTCTTTCACTTTAAAATTCACTAAAGATAAAACAGCATTAACTACTGGTTCGACATGTTCGATACCAATGTTATGAGATCTAAAAAAATATATAAGTTCCCTAATCCTATGATCAAATGGTCTACCTCTGGTATTTTCCCTAAAATCTAAAACTTTAACTGTGTCACACCCTTCCTGTTCTTCCTCTTTTTCACAACGTAAAATATCAAGTTCTTTTTCTAAATCATTTAAAATACCATTTAATGAGTTGCACTGAACACTTTTGTCTCTAAGTATTTTATCTACCGGTACACATACTTCTTTGTCTTTTTTCCTGTCTATCTTCTCTTCTTTTTTCATTTTCCTTGATACATGTAATTTTGATCGCAGATCTTTAATAATTCTGTCTTTCCTTTGTATGGCTTGTTCATATCTCCTACTTTTAATTTTCTTTAGCTGATCTTTCAATAGCAACACTTTCTTCTGTAATTGAATAATCTGAATACCCTGGTCTATTGGTGCTGGTGCTGGTTGTGGTGGTGGCAATGAGGGTGGTTCAGCTCTAGAAGTCACTTTCACTGGTACACTAAATGTACTTGTCAAAAAATGTTCACATTCACAATTTTTTTTCCCTTTAAGCTGTTGAATCTTTGCTTTAGTTCTTTTAATTTTAACATAAAGTGATTTCTTGTCAATTTCTTCCCGACTTTTACCTACAACTCTGCATATATCACTCTGAATTGAATTGATGTTCCCTTTGCATCTTTCATATATTTCGACCACTAATTTGTTGGTTAGGGACATTTTGGTTATGATAAGTTAGTTTTAACAAATATATTTACCCTATATACACATATACTATGTTGGCTGTTTTGAAAGAAATGATGATATTGCATGTTAGTAAAACGAGACAAACACTAGACGATGCACACACATCACACACATATATAATTCATACTGATAGCGTCGCCTGCATTGGTATTATTTTTATTTCAGACTGACAGATGGACAAGTTCCATAATAAGTGATCCCTCTGTATTATTTAATAAATACATACCTTAAAAGCTCAACTGAATAAATCTTTTTTTTTTGTCTTTTTTCTTTTCTTTTCTTTTTTTTTTCAATGTCTTTAGGAAAAATCATCAATGAAGAAAAACCAAAGATGAATCTGAAAATAAAATTCATAATATATATATTTAATTATTTATTATTTTAAAAAAAATGTCATTAATAATTTCAAAGAATTGCAATAAATTCTTACATTTTATATGTGGCCAACTTTATAAGTGTTATTATAAATATTGTAAAGAAATTACCCTTGAGTTTTCCAACAAGGGGTATGTACAGGAATAAACAAACAAGCGAAAGAATATTTACACACAGTCTCTGGCTAGGTAATCAGTGAAATCTGGAAGAACAAAATGCTTATTGTTGCAAATACATGTACTTGTATGGAAGCAATGACATTTAATGAAATTCTATTTACCTTGATTATCCGGGAAAGTTTATTTACACCTCATAAAGCATCCCAATATAACTGTTGAAATTTATCTGCAAAAAGATATATAAATCACTTTTTTCCTATGATATATTGAAAAAGACTATGATGAAAGGGAGGTAACTCAATTATTAGAATGGTTGAAACTATTGGGAGGCATAAAAGTAATTGAATAAATTAAACTCTAACTTGATTTTTCGTAAATATATATTTTAATATCTTAAATTTACATATATCAATTAATTATTGAAGGAAACTATGAGTGTGCCCTCGTGTTGCCATTATAATATCAATTTTCCATGTCACATTACTGAGGCATTAATCTTTAAAAAATCAGCAAGAGAAAGCCATAGCTTCCAAAATTTCAGTAATCGTACATATTGTAGCAGTATGTCTACCGCTTACGAAAATGGGTGAAACTTGAGCGTACCCTATCATTATCCTCCAAAAAAAAAATTTATTCATATTTTCATTACGCCCGTGTACATAATAAAATACCATTATTCGTGCTTTACGCGATTTTCCAAAAACAAAACACTGTATAAAAGATGATTTATACTCAAAACTTACCAGCATTACTCAATTTTTGTTATGTCAAGGTCCTATCTTATTTTATATAATTAATAACAAAAAATACTTACTTACTCCGAGCCATATGAAGTCAACATGGCCGACTCTGAACAAGTTCTGCAATAGATTAGAGTTATCGTTCTTGGCAAAGATGGCGTTATCTGGAAAGGCTACGTTTCCCATACTTGTAAACAGCTGACAATCAATGTTGATCAAACGTTTGGGTCATGCGAAATTTCACCGGGTATAACCATTCATTCGGGTGTATACAAATCGTGAACAGAATATCCTCTAGTCGATAGGAAGATAATACATATGTCTTATCTGATCAATTTTGCATTTTTGGGGGGATATATTTTGCTGGAAAGCATATATGCTTATTGAAGAAAGAAATTTCTGAGTGTATGGCGTTTTGACACGTAATGATGAATTACCATATGGACAAGCCATGTTTTATATCATTTTTTTCTCACCTAAAAATCTTATTCTAATAAGTTTGTAAATGTATTATTTAATAATTAAATAAGTAGAAATTGAATAAATTGACAAACAATTCATTTTTAAAGAAAGGATACGTATTGGGCAGTACACTACATATTAACTGATGTGATATAATGTACATTCCATCCACAATATCGCATGTTGTGTTATACTCGGTGATTTATCGGTGTTAAGTGAATTTCAATCTGATCATGTTGGATCAAAATGGCGTTTTTACGGAAGTACGCCATGTTGTGACGTTGTAGAGAGCCCCCTTTCTTTTTGTTAAATACAATCGAATGGGGTCAGATGAGCAAAAAATACAAAAATAGGTATGGCCTAAATAAAACTGGCACGTACCGTTTAGAAAATTGTCAAGGAAAAAATACATAGAACAGAACCGTTTATGTTGATCTGTTATATATTTAGCAATACATGAAAATGTGTCATTAATGGTCATTGTTGTTTATTTGTAAATGGCAGTTCTTGATAAAGGTATCTTGACTATAATGTGATGTGTTGTTTGTTTTTTTCTGCATTATAAAACTTCAAACAATTATAGCATGACGAAACAAAGAAAAACATTTGCCAAACAAAATCAAACGTTTGATTATCTATTCAAAACAAGAATTTGGTTATTTTCTGGTTATCAACTTTAAAAACAAACGATCTTGCAAAAACGTGCATACAGTTGTATGAGTACAGAGGTTCATAATGAAAGACAGAGAGTAACTGCTGACTTTAGCTATAAATCGTACATGTATCTACGCCTTCATTTTCTTGGAATTATTTGATGTGATCACGTTGAACCCGCATCCGACGAGGAATTTCGAATCAATCACGTGACTCATCTCATTTACTTCCTCTTCCGCCTTGGATACGTCTGTTAGTCTAGGCATGCAAAGCACGAGGAGAAGGAATATTGACAAACCGGTGGCTAAGTAATGTAATGATTCGTCAGATCTACAGCGCAGACAGAAGTCGGAACTTTCCATGTCAAACACATTGTTATCCACATGAATACAAAAATGTTCCTCCTCTGACTTAGGCACTCGGACATCAATATACTGAGTAGATTTGTCCTCTAACTTGTGGAATTTCACAGAAAGATACCCTGAAAGTTAACAAAAACCTTATTTGTCAATCAAATTGTAAATTTTGGTTACCAGTATTTTATTTTTGATTTAATGCTTTTATTTTTGCATGAAATATATTTTTAATGTTCCGTTCCGTGATCATAAAAAATATTTAACATTTCATTCTTCCTAATTTTCAAATAATACTATATTTAGACAAGAATATCTATCGTTGGTTGCAGCAGCGGAATATCTATTTTTGTTTATATGTTAAAATGGGCACATTGTCATTTGGAAATTCAACACTTCAATAAAACATTAACTACCTTCTTTCTTGTCTTGAGAACTGATCCATCGTCCTGTCAGCACAGCCCAGTCTCCGGAAGTCTGTCTGATCAGCACAGCCCGCTCACCGAGACGCGGATCTAACGTGGCGTACCAGTTAGGATTGGAGACCTGTGTATCCAAGTAGAAAGTCAGGCTATTCTAGTCGTTTAGTTTTAAGAGCTTTGTATAAGTAGTAAAAAAAATTAAACGTACCTGAAATGAGAGCGGTAAATGGCTCGAGTCCACTGTCTTTGCTGAGCAGACAATTTTTGCGTTCTGTATGAATTGTATATCAGCTTCAGATCGATGAGGGCTGTACACGAATCTACATTCAACATCGCCAACATTGCTCTCATTTATAAATCTAGTAAGTAACAAAACAATTAGATGTAACATCGTTTCATTCAGGTAAAAGTTTTAAACATAAACATAGTATTAGATGTAATTTAAAAACAGTAGAACAAAAAAAAACGGATTTAAACTTTTCACTGCACAGAGCTTTCTTAAAATTAAATCCTTATGTCTTACCTGTGTTGGGCGACATAGCCAGCCCCACACTCATTAGGCTCTAGTTTTGTTGGTTCTATCGGAAACACTCTGTCTATATCGTGAGGAACTGCACATACGGAGAACTCTCCCGTGTTGAAGGAGTAAATCGTATCTGGGTAATGCTCTGTGATGCATCCAGAGACGTAAGCCAAGTTCTTGTCCTCTCCCTCTAAAGACACAGATTCTTGGAAGCAATAAACACTTGAGCGATCTAGCAATTGATGCAGATCAATTTTACCTTTGCCTACTATTACTTCACGAGAAAAAATAGTCCCTTTCCGTACTTTGAGATGGAATATCAGCCATCGCCGGGAATGCAAGCTACATGAAAATAGTTCGTTCGCAGTCCATACCATGGTGGGTCCAAAAAGTTCAATTGTAGGTTTTCTGATTTTAACTTGATCTTCTGTTAAAAATATTTGTAAACTGAAATCGAGTCCATATTCTCCCTCTGGAATTCTATCAATAGATAGAGAGTCTAATTTCAATTGTAGTCCGAGTCTGGAATGGGTTTGATCATCACGGTAACATATAGGAGAGTAGAGTTCGTCTGGAGAAGGACCACGATACATCGCCCCCGGTGTATTAAAATCTTCTTGATACATTTCCCGCCATAGTCGTCTTGTGTCGATGGTAGATAAGGTTAGTTTGGAATCCGGGGACCTATCTACGGTGGTATCGTCGTGAACTAGAACTTTACCCAAAAGGCGGATAGTATCATCTTTGTATGCAAAGGGATGCAACTGATGTGTGTGCCAAATCAAATCCTGATCGTAACATGGAACTATAAAGAGTTTAAATGAATTTTTGCGAAGGAAAAGAAATTTCTGGTATCTCTGCACAGATAGTGTTAGAAATTTCCTGTCGAGATAATGAGGCAGAGACACGTTATAATAAAAACAGCTTTGGCGCAATATAGCTGCCTCTAGATCGTAAGAGATACCAGATTTGAATTCTGTCCCAGAGGATGCCTCTAGCATTTTATCCATTGATAGTTCAACTTCAAAAGGTTCGTCCTTATACTTGGCATTCCATAACTGTTTTGATCGCTTCAGTACGTACTCCCTATCATGGTAACGGACCAAGCGGTGATTGACCATGCCTCCAAATAACGTCTTACAATCCTTCTCATAGGTAACAGGACACAGTAGATGGCAGTGCCAAAGCCACTCAATATCAAGAGGGGCTGTTAAACGCTCCTGCGCATGCTCCGCAGCTAGAGGAAGCCACAATTGTTCATATCTCCTTCTGGTATTTTGGATGTGTTTGACGGATTTTAGTGCCGGGTATTTGTCTACTGTGGACAAAAACTCGACTTGTGCCAGGGCCGCTTCTACAAGGTCGACACTAAAGGTCTGACTTAATGCCTGTTTATTGCACTCGGAGACCGACACTGAAATAAAAAAGTCATTTTCAAACAGCACATGTATAGGAGATTTCATCAAAAAATGTTTTACATGCCTTAAATACATGAGTTCGTAATTTCTTTTATATACAAAGTAAACATGTTGCTTTGTACTCAACTTTACTTATTTGAGCTCCATTTTGTTTTTACATAGATACAGCAGGTAGAATTAATTGTCTTTATTTAGACCATTTCTCGCTTTCATGATACAGTGCCTTTCAATAATGCAAAATTCTTTTTTTTAATGCTCTTGTAGCTTTAAAACCAGTAAAGAAATTCTGTTTTGATCTTTTGTATGTTCTTCATGTACTTGTAAAGTACTCATATCTATGGTTTACCCAAAAAGAAAACTCACATGTTTTTCCATCCACAAACGAAATGCTTGCAACTGATTTTCTATTTGTTCCTTCCATAATTGTATGCTGAAAAGGGAAAATACATTTTGAAATGAACAGGAGTTTGGTCACACAATTAAAATTACTCACAAGATTTCCCAGACAAGACATTTTATTTATTTATATTATTGATAAAAGTTTGGTACAAATAAGATATAAAAAAAGACACATGACTCTTTACATGTACCTCATTTTAATGATATATGACAATACTTATTACACTAAAAGTGTTTGTCAAACAAGACATTTACATGTTTAGATCCTATTAAGATATAAAAGCTTTAAGGCTATGTGATTTAATGTATGTGGTTTAAAAAATTTACATGTATATATCCTTTATGAACCTCAGTTCCTTTCGCCTTACGTGTAAATAGCTGTGCCAGTTGTTCCACCTGTAAACAGGTAAAGGTGTACACAGTACAGGTATATTTTAAATACAACAAATAATAACTGTTACTGTTTAATTACGACTTCTTTACCTGTAAGAATTAGACCAATATATTGAAAGCCTGACTGGTTTCCTCGTCTGAAGCCTAGTGTACAATTTATTGTCTACTTTGTTAACGATAATGCTAGGTGCTTCTCAGGTAAACAAATGAAGAGTTCCAAAAGGAACAGTAACTCTATCAAAATATCAAATAATAGTAAATCTATAAAACAGAAATAGATTATGTTTTTTTTAGATAGGTTAAAATTCTGATCGGGATTAGCCGAAATGGAAGTAAAAAATATTGAATATCTTCCATTTTTTCTTAATTTTATTTCAATTTCTTTTTAAAATATGATTGTTTGAAACATGTTCTCCCTAGTTTTCATTAGTTTAATGACGATTTAAATTGTGGGTTTAAAAATATTCACTATTTTTATAATTTCAATTTCAAAACTAAATATGTTTTTCTAGCCTTTCTTTAATGTTTAATATTTCATTAGACATTCATATTATGTATAAAAGGAAATCAAATGTTAAACTATAATGAAAGCACCTCATTTGCAAGTGAAATATTTTTTTCTCCCTTTTCTCTGAAAAAAAAAATAATTAAGGACTTATTCTGGCATGTAATTCCTTCTTTAAGTAATTGAACCTTTAATTTCCAATTTAATTTACAATTTACTACAAAAATACTTAGTTTTCCAGACAGATTACGAATATACTACTTAAGTATTTATATTTAAAAACTAACTGTTTACAGATAATCTAGGAATGGCAACATCGCCCTGCTGTTCCTGGTATAGATATGTTAGCGTTCTACTTATTATTAAACATCACATTAAATTTAGCAATATTATGTTTATTATATGGCCTCAAGACAAACGTACCTATTTACAAGTGTAGTGAAATGTACATACATGTACTTTACTTAAAGTTCTACTTTTTTGACATATTAGTTGCGAATTAATTATAGTATCAATGAGAAAGGTAAGAGTTTTTCTCTGTTTGTTTATTTTCCTTGTTGACTGTACGTGCACGTAAACCGATGTATTCAAAATTCAGTGCGCTTGCTGGATATGGAACATAATACTAAAATTTGCGCACACCTGTCTAGTCATGTATTGTACCTTATGTTATGAATTATATTTAGCGCATCTTTAGAATACCAAATTCTGCTTTTTTGAGCACTAACAATGATTTCATTTTTTTCAAATACATTTGTGAAATAAATTCAAAATAGATTTCAAAAGCAAGGCTCGGAAACATTTTACACCCATAAAGTATTTAAATTCAGAATATCCTTAAAAGTTTCACTTATTTTTTTTTATGCCTTGAATTTAATACAAATCAAATATAACTTTAAACATCATAGTTGGTAGAACACCAATTTCTTAGGACCTATTTACACTTGTTTAAAACTGCATAACACTTAATTGAAAGAATATTAATTTAACACCCCTGTCAACGCGCGACCGGCAACGCTGATCAATGCGATCGGCAACGCCGATCAAAACATCGAAGAAGAAAGTATAGTAGGGGGTAAATTTTAATAGATTTGTATGTGCTGGAGTGTAACCAGCTAAAAATAAAATTGGAAAACATTTACAGTTTAGGATTTACAGAGAGTAAATTTGTTTCACAGTTTCTGTGTAAATGGTACTGATAAAATCGACAATGTTCAAAACATCAAATTTCCATGCTTTGAAATTTTTTTTATTGTTGTTATTACCTATCAACATTTGCTGCTTTTGTTATGTGACGGTTCTTGAAAGTATGAACTTCCTGATTTTGAAATTAAAATTACATACATTATACAAATTTTAACTGGAAAATTTGACAACCGAGAGGCGATCGTCAACGACATGTATCTTCTTACGAAGCGATCGTACAACATGGAAATAGCGATCGTGCAACACACGAAATAAGAATAGCATAAATCAGAGAAACTTCTTGTCAGAAAGTTTATTTTGATATAAACAAATATTTCACATTTAAATTAGGCAGTCAGTCATTGTTATATACCTTTTTAACTCTTAAAATTGTCCTACATTACATGTAATATAGAAAATAGAAATTAACTACGTAGATTATAGAAAATTGAAAAAATTGAAAAAGAGCAAAAATGCAAAGTAACTAAATTTTCATAAGTGTCACCCCCCTCCCCCCAAAAAAACCCCTAAATATCTTAGATGGTTTATCATGCAAAGTGTAAGTAAAGGAACATTTTCTAAGGGAAGGGGTGTCATGATTCAAGTTCTTGAACAACCAAATTTTATCCATAAATTACCAGGTGCCTTGCTCCGATTTGACTATAAAATGCAAAAGGGGGACAACCAGCCTATTGGTTTAGCTCCCCCCCAACTTTCAGTTTGCTTCCGACGCCTATGAAAGTAAAGTTTTCAACCCCACCCCACCCCCGATTCTAGACTGTACATGTACGTACATGATATTAAAAATTTTCAATTAATTTTTTAAAAAGTAATACTTATAATAGTTTTCAGTAAATTAAAAAAAAATATATATACTGTAATACATAATGCTGTTGTATTAACACGTGCGTGTACAACACATTTTTTGTTTACTGAAAATTTTGGTAAAATTGCTCTAGATATGCAAATTCCTTTGATCGTAATTTTCATAGTATTGATACATATCTTTTTTATTTTCTAAAAAAAAAATATCAGTTTTTGATATGTATGCCAGCTCCTGTATAACTGAACTGGCATTTTATAGACAATAAAACAATTTTTTTCTATAATGCTAAAATTCGGTCCTATAACACTCTATAGGTATCTAATCAAATAATATCAAGTTTTTGGGTTCATGGAGTTTTAATTTTTTTTTCTCCCAAATACGGACATTATTCAACTAATAAACAAGAACGTCAGTAAAGTTCGCTCTTTCCTTCTCGAAAATCAAATGCTTGGTATTTCGTTCTATTTCGAAAGACTTTCCACCCATACCACATGGCTATCTATTACTTTATTTCATTAAATGTATTTTATAAATTTTAAGTTGCACGATCGCATGTTTTTCATATTTTCTTTGTTGTACGATCGCATAATATAAAGTCGTTGCCGATCGCCAAAACGTCTGGCATGTATTCACTTCCAACCGTTATTTTTACGCTTTCTATTGGATGAAGAACTTCAAATCGGATTAAACATTTATGATTGACCTATTTAGAATTGCAGATGTGCCCTTTGGACTGTCGGGTATACGTAATAAGGTAAAAAATACCACTTAAACGAGCTTCGTGTGTTACGTAAGGGCAGTCATGTTCAAGGAAAACTTAACTTTAACACAATATATGATAATTTTTAATGCGTAGAGGACTTCCAGGGTGTCAGACATGCCTAGCAGCATTTAAAAGGTCAGAAATGTTGAAGGAAAATTGCGAGGAAATACTTCAAATAGAACAAAACAATGTTTTATTTAATCTCATCTTCCTCGTGTACTTGAATTTAACTATCGGATTTGCATCAGCGTTGCCGATCGCGCGTTGACAGGGGTGTTAAGGTACAGAGAAATAGAGGGGGAGGTAATTTTTAGCAAATTTTTTTTTATAATCTTTATCATTTGAAGGAGTATGTGATAATTCTCCTGTCGTTACCCCTCATATGGGGAGATTGGATCCCGCCCCTACTAAGACCACGGCACCGGTCCCTAGATATGGCATCACTGTGTGCAAGTAAGTTAACTTATTGTCTTTCGAGTTAAAAAAAAAATCAGGATTTTCATGTACATCAACTCAATTCCTTCTGAGATTCATTGTTGGCATGCAGGGGAAATGAGAAAAGGAAAGGAAAATGCCTTTGTGAATTATTCAGGAAGGGATTGATTCCAGAAAAGAAAAATCATCTAGAAATATTAGCACGGCCGTTACAATTGAATATAAGATGTGTTTGTGAAAATAATACTGATACCTTGTATGGCAACATAGTGAAGATTAAACTTTTCATAAATGGAAATTTAATAGATTATTACTCAAAGTAGGATATTCTCACTTATATAATTGTGAAATATGAATGTAAGACAAGGTTAAAGTTTTTTTTATAAGTATTGAAATCTCCAAGGTCAAGGTTAAACGATCAAGATAATTGGTATCCAATGAAAGATCTTGCCGCAAAAAATTAAAAATGTGAAGTATGGAAGCCTTAGCACTAACCCTTCAAAAGTTATGGCCAAGGTTAAAAATTTAAAAAGTAGGTCAAACTTCAATGTCAAGGTCATAGGGTCAAAAGTTTTGATGTCAAATGAAAGGTATTGTCACAAGGATTAAATATATTTAGTATGATAGCACTAGCCCTAACCCTTTAAAAGGTATGGTCAAGGATTGCTCTTTTTCTAAAGTAGGTCAAACCCCAAGGTCAAAGGGTCAACGTTCTTGATATCCGAATGAAAGGTCTTCTCAAAAGCATTACACAATACACATATAAAGTACGAAAGCCTTACCCCTTACAATTCAAAAATTATTGCTAAGGTTAAAGTTTTTTCATCAGAACGGAAATCTCCAAGGTCAAAAGGTCAAAGTTGTTGGTATCCAATGAAAGGTCTTGAAAGGTACAAAAATACATGTATGAAGCATAAAAGTCCTGGTTTCAACTGTTCAAAAGATATGACCTTGGTAAAAGTTTGGAATATTTGTGTAAAAGTGGTTCAAACTCCAAGATCAAAAGGTCAAATTTGGTGGTACTAAGGAAAGGTCTTGTCACAAGAAATACACATGTGAAATAAGAAAGTCATAGCTCAACTAATTAAAATCAAAAGTTATGGAAAGATTGAAGTTTTTTTTCTGACTAAAAGACAGACAGAGAGACAGCTAGACAGACAGACGGACACGATAAAAAACTATGTACACCCGAAAGTTCGTTTACGGGGGCATAAAATGTTTTATCATTCCATTTTGATATTTAGATCTAAACAAAAAATATATGTGATTATTTCTCATATATTTTCAGAAATCTTTCTCACAACCCTCTTTGAGACAGTGTTTTACATTAAGATATGTCAGCTCTATTTATAGTGAGACGGCACATGTTTATATCCTTTAAATTGTTTTTCTTTTCAAATTTTATAGTGCCAAGAACATCTGACGAGTCACCGTACTATTTCGGAACCTCAGATTTAGCATGTGTAACAACAAAAGGCCGTTTACATTTAATATCAAAACGATCCATCCAGATAGACTCCGAAAGAAACAGAACCAAACGAGCGGCCCCAGAGAGACACGTGTTGGCCCCGACCCATCGATGGATTTACTACAAAGGATATTTCTTTGAATGGGGGACGGATGCTGGTACGAAGAACCGTTTATTTGGATTATTGAATGACGCAAATAGTTATAGCATAAAATCAGGTTTTCCGTATAAAGCAGACAAATGTAATTGGATGATGGAGTTCCTACCCGCGGGTTACTCGAGCGTGCCAGCGGAGTGTATTATGGGCTGTGCGGTCAATTATCGGACAATGACGGGAGATTACAGCCTCCTAAATAACAATTGCCACCATTTTGCAAACACTATTTCAAATATTTTATGTTCTAATATTTGTCCTGACTGGTGTACTACACCCCTTTAAATGTTATACATCATGAAGTCTCAATGTACTTTCACTAAATGTTATACGACGTGAAGTCTCAGTCATGAACTGGTAAAACACTTAGTGTGAAATTATTTTTATTTTTCAGTATATTGTTCAAAAGTTATAACAAGAAAGACAAATGTGATAAGAGGTTGATTTCTGAAGGGATTGTAAATAGTTTGATTTTTTTAAAATTTGAAATTGAAAATAAACATATATACATGTAATAGTTTTTGTTTATTTGTATCGTTAATGTTAATGACTGTCTGACAGAGTCTCCCGAAGGCTATTTGTTTCTTCTATAAATTTTTACCTACATGTTTCTGATCATGAGTTTGTTGTTAAAATTGGATCATTATACTAGTATATTACAAAACTTTCAAAAAGCTTGACCTTTGACTAATAAAACTGTTAATGACTCCTCTTTGTACCATAAGTGCTTAAATGACAATGAAGTCTCTAACTTGAAGGGAAATCGAGTTATATATGTGTCACACGGAAGTGTTGATACAGATGGAAGGACATAAGATGCAATACAACAGTCAGTACGATATCAGAATTAAGAAGTACCGGTAAATGTGTACGTGTTATTCCCTTACTTAATAATCGTTTCTACTTGACCCTTTCCGTTGGCTAAAAATCTATCACAGATAGCGTTTACTTAGTCTGATCACGTTCATATACATGTAGGAAGCTGGGAAACTTTCTGCACAGGCCTACATATTAACACAGTTACATGTCCATATAATTGGTCTAAGTACAAACCTTACACAGTGTTAAACATATATATAAATCAAGCTATAAAAAATACTTTATATCCTTAAACGAATTGTGATGTTATTTCTCTTTTATCCATGGACAAATCTTTCGAAGTGTTTTTCTTATTTTATGTTTTAAACTCATCCCCGTCAGCTTTAGCTTTATTTCGTAAAATGTACGTTCATCTCTACTATTTTGACCAATCTTTACCGTTTTCTTAACGGGATCAGAAAGAACTTTAAACTTTGCGGCTGGTGGGTAAAGGAACTCGCTTTCATCTGGATACTCGGAAAACTGACTTATACCCTTTGGTCTCCATTCACTGTCCTGTGAATTGTCAATTATTAGAAAAATGTTTTTGTCGGTACCAGGCGCAAGAAATGTTTCCATCGAAACTTCTCGACGATCAGATGATGATGTGAATTGCGGCAGGACTATGCTCTCCCCCTTTTTGTAAGGTTTCAAAACGATTGCCATATCTCCTTGAATATCCTGTATTCCTCTATATGTAGTTTTACTTGCTGCCATTAAATCTTTCCAGTACAATATTGTAGCAAACAGGGCGGTAGCATAAGGGGCTAACGCTCTATCATTTACAGATAGTGATTTTGTTGTACATTTATGCTGAGCAAGTGCGGCTGATAGATCGGAGTAAATTTCGTCAGCTGAATATAGTTGGATAAGACTGATCTCCAAATCGTCATCACGCGACCGCCTTAGGATATTGTAAGACCTACGATACTGATCCTTTAGAGACTCAGCTATTGTCCATTTTGTAGCATTCCTTTTCTTTTGTATAATCATGAAAATACTTTGCAAGGATTGAAAAAAGCGACCTTCATACTTTTCAGTTCCATTTGACAAATCCTCTATTCCATAGTTTATCATACTCATCCCATACTTTTCTATCATTTTCTGACAATCACCCTTCTCGACAAATGCTCTTTTGTGTCTTTGATGTATTTGCTGTGCAGTTTTGAATTTTGGATCCAAGGCTGTTACGGTACCACAGTATACCACGACGATAAACAAAAGATGCATTTTCATTCCTTTTCTCTAAATCCAGAAACAAAAAAACCTTAACAATTACCAATATTAAAAAACGAAATTGTTACACTCGCTATATATTAAAGTATCAATTTGTTGTTCTAGCAAAATAACATAATAGCATCTATTAATTTAAAGAATAGATGCCTTTATTTTATGAGGAAAACATTGTTGCTGCTATTTGAGTTGGGTTAGCTATGAATTAGATCGGGTTTGGGATATCTCAACTTCCCCCTCTTTGCCCTGGATCCTAAGAACGAAAGGTATACGAATTTTGTAGCAGACAGAATTTTCAAAAAATATGCTTTCAATCACGATTGTTTCTTAAATAATTTCATAAAATAGTATAGATAAACATCAGATTTGATGATTAGATGCATGGATGGATTATTCTTTTTCGAAAAAAATGCAAGATTGGGTAGGATTGAAATTTTCTTTGTCAGCATTATGAGCGCATACATGTGGCATAAGTTGTGTTAAAACTTGGTTACGCTTTAGTTTACGAGCAAATATATATCAGATTGAGGAATATTTTGTAATTAGGCATAAAACATATTTATATATAAATCGGGCATTATCAATTAGAAATCGGGGGGGGGGTTAATAGCAGTAAAGTGATGAAAACATTATAATCAGTGTTTATCAATTTTCGAAACATTTATTCAATTGAACATTCTCAAGTGATACAGTTGGGGGATTTTTTAAATGCACTTTGCAATAGGAAAAGAAAAAACAAACAAACAAACAAACAAAAACCAAAAGGGGCTCAGAAGCAAAGTTTCCAGATCTGAGGATTAACTGGGAAAATTCAAATATTGGAAGGGTAATGTTCAGCATAAATCAGGCTATAAGATATTATCATGCAGTAGGAACTTAGTTCATATTGGCTAATTTTATGCCCCCTATATCATGTATATTAAACAACACAATCAACCAAGAAAAGCCAATGCTTTATTCAAACTTCAAATCTGATGTACTCTTGATATTAAATTCAGAGATTCTCAAGTGTGAAATATTGCCCCATGGATCCTTTGGCAATTGCATAAATTTTATAAAATTCATTGGCAATCAAAGGTAGCGCACTTACTCATTAGAGCAATGCTCAATATTTTACTTGTGTAATGAGTCGTACAATAAATTTGACAATACAATCTGACACAAGGGTATTTGCTTTAGCATTTTAGGGATGGGAATTTTGATTGATGTACCTCTTGCTCATGCATTCTTAACTTCTAAGGCCGGTTATATTAGGAATAAAGGAATTGATAATGTTATTTACCTGTGGTTTGGGTAAATTTTGGTTAGACTGGTAAATTAAGGAAAATGACAAATCATTGCTCAATACATGTGAAAGAACATAATCTGCTGTATGCTATAACCAGTTGCTAAAATTAGAAATTCTCTTCTATTAGCTATGGTAAGTATGTAAAGTTTTTAGCTATAGGTGTGCTGTGACCCAGAGAAATAATAACTGATCATGAATCATGTAATATCAATTATTCATTCTCAACTACTGACAAGGTTAATTTAATAAGGTTTTATTGATTGATTGATTGTATACTGTTTAACATCCCCCTCCATAATATTTCACTGATATGGAGACATAAAAGGGATATACTTCACAATTAACAAAATATAACGGAAAAAAAATTATTCCAGCTTTTGTGTTTACTCAAAATTTGGATGTATTCAGTAAGATTTATTATTTGCAAGATACAGTGTACTAAGGTTATCAAGTCAAATACACACAAATATAAACTGATCGTACATGTAGTCAATTATTGATAAACAAGAGGACAAATATATAAAGGACTTAAATTTTTGGAATTAATTTCATTACTACATTAGGTACACCTGTTTGAATATACAAAGATTTGGACAATTGATGCGATGTATTTCACAATGGCATTTTTCTTTGGTCTGAATAAATTAAGTATTGTGATCATGATTTATTAGATCAGACATCTAAACTTGATAAGCATGATATAAGCTTATGGATTTCATTCAAGATACATAAATCATAGAGTAAATTTAATTTTATGGCTTATCCTATTTTCAACAAAACAGTGGAAACCACTAGTTATAAGATCCAGGGCTAAAAACATTCTAAGTCCAACCCATTGGAATTTCACAAACAGCTTCATTCAGGGAAAATTTTAGGAAATTCAAAGCTATTCAATTGTTATTAATGGATTAGAAATTACAGCAATTTGTCAAAATTTTCCATGAATTATATTAGATTCATGCCAGGTAAACATATCATTCATCCAGAAACCACAGCAAAATTCTATTTCTCAGCCACAGGCATGACAAAAGTTGAAAGGATTCACAGTACTTTTTAGGTGGCAATACTTGTTCAGTGTATGAATTAAACCTTTAATAACAAGAAAGTGCTTCGGAATCCTTCTAATCACATTTTCAATTTTGGTGAATTAAATAAATTTTTAAATTTGTTTTTTTATAATCCTCCATATATAGCTTTAGGAAGTACTGTACAGTACTGTTTGTAATTTAGGAATAATGCACTGTCAGGCAAGATAAACAATAATTCCTAGTATTTTTTTTTTTTAACTAAAGGAATAATTAAAATGCACATGTAATCATGTATTCTTGCAAGTCAGTTTGATGGGGAAAGGTTTTTTGCCCTCTGTGTGAGCCAATTATTAGTAATACTTGTCCTGTTCCTAGTTCTAGGTAGTGAAGTTACATTATTATTTTAATAGGCATAGATCTGTAATTTTCATTAGAAGTGAACTTTAAAAAGTTCCATATTCTTAGTACATTAATAAAGTATCTGTTAACATCCAGTTTATGATGTATAGGCTCACAGCTCATACAGATAAGTTTGGTGAAAAGCATTAATTAGAATAAAGTTAAGAACTGATATCAAGATCCCATTTGGAGTCATAGTTGGGAGAAAAACGTTGACTGCTGTAAGACCTTGTGTTACATGTAATACATGTGAGTACTAAAAGCCTGGAGAGTCAATTCTCAGATATAAAGCTAACCTTATTATATTACAATTAACATGATTTATTTCCATAGATAATCTTACACAGTAAGTTAAATATGTTTTCTAGAACTATTGTTTGAAACCAGCCAGAATAAATTCATACATGCTGCTGTTGAATTGCGAAGGGTAGATCAGGATCAGCCATTTTTATGATAGGACAATATTTTGTCTACATATAAAATGTTTCTTAAAATTTTATTACATGTAATTCATCATGTTTAATATAAATTATGACGCAAATTGCATATTTTCAGTCTATTATACAAACATAATCAACTTAGGAGGTATGGTGGTCTAGAGTTATTTTCAGGGGGGGGGGGGGGGGGGGGCTAATTCAGTTTTCCAAGTAAATAGGTTAAATTTAGGGCGGTTGGTCGTGGGTCAGTTGAATGCGGCTTCCCCATTTTGTGGGGTGACCGAAACCTGTGGATTCCATAGGTTTCGGCCATGTGGCGTTTGCGCCGAGCCATTCAACTGATGCTATAATTCATTGTGATGCTGCTGCTTAAAACAAACTCATTTACTGTGAAAATGTGTGCTGCTTTCAACAAATTCATGAATTGGTCTGCTTTGATTGATTGAAACAAACTCAATTGCTGTGCAAAATGTGTACTGCTTCCAACAAATGTCATGGACAGTGCTTTGCTTGCTAAAATATCTTTAGTAACGTTCGAGGTTTGATAACCCGGAACGATAACTACATACATATAAACTTGTAAAGTTTATTTAAAATACATGTTCATAAAATTTAATTGTAAGGTTAATTACCGTTTGCGGTATACCCGGAACGGCCATTGTTATGCTTATTATAAGTACATGTACACGTAATATTTTGCTATCATATTGATTGCTGCTGTTGTTGCTTGCTGCTGTTGTTTGTTGAAATTGTTTGGGGTCGCCCTGCTTGGCACCCCCTTGTTGCTTTAAAAAATGCCACGACCAACAATCGCCAATATATTAAAATAAACGTGTATAAAATCATGTTTGTTTTATTTTCCTCTATATAAATAATGTAAAAGCACTTAAATAGAATAATGTTATGAAAGTATACAAAAAAAAAAACATTAAACAGAACTTCAATATATTAATGACAATACACAATACAATATACTTTACCATCAAAACAATGACATAAACATACCTCAAAATTTGACACTTATATATTTATATCAGTGAAAAATAGTAAGAGCTGCTCATCGTCAATCAGGAGTGTATATTTAACCATTGTCTCTCACGAAGGGTCATTTTTATTATATTTCCGACTTTTCGTTGATGACAAATTTCCTTTTCAAATTCCACTAATGCTGAATAATCTAAATTTACACTACCCATTATCTTCCTTGATGATTGTCTATGTATATGTAGCTTTTAAACTACTTGTCTATTAGAAATAATGAAACAAGTTTCGATTTTATTGTAAAAATCAGAAAGCTTTTGGACCACAATGCTCTATATAAAAATGGCCAGATATAGTATGAAACATATGGAGATAAAGAACAGTATTCAAGATCAAAAGTCCAGAATACAACTAGAAGTTATATATAATGATAAATAATGGTTGATTCCACAGTTACAACGTCTGTTTATAATTTATGAACTCCTGCAGGAAATTTTGTGTGTGAATATAAATTACTAAATGATGTTCAAATTTATACACTTTGCAGAGGATCTAGGAAAAGGAATGGGGCAATAATAGGTAATTAAAAGTATTATAAATTTATTGAGCTTCTGGGTGTTTGAAGTTGCTTGAAAATGTTTTTTTTTTTAAATACAGGGATTTTCTGTGTGTAAGATTGTTGCCACAAAAACATCAGTCAGCATTTGATTAAATGATAGATTTAATTTGCTGACAAGGTAATTGCATCGACCATAGAACTTACGAAATGATGACTTTAAACGAGACTACTGATATTCTTGTTTCATCAACTTGTTTGTCAGTAATTTACCTTGTTTTAGGAATTGTTCTAACGTAGAACATGCTTTTGGTGTATCGAATCAACTGAGATATATGAACTCCGTATGCAGGTGATGAAGGTATATTGCTGCATATTTAAGGGAATTTGATGATAGAAAAGTTAAAGTCATCACGTTTATAATAGAGTTTGGTTGTTAGATTACCATTAATGTCTTTTTAAGTAAGATATCCAAGTATGAAGCAAATGTGTCAGACTCTATGGTATCTTTTATTTCAAGCTCTCCAGGATATGTCGTATCGGCATAGGAATGGAAATTACAATTTTTTATTGACAGTACGTCGTCAATAAATCTAAATGTCGAGTTGAAGGCCACAGCAAGTGTTTTCTTCTTTTAACGTATAAGATTTTGCACAAATTCTACTTCATATAAATACGAAAATGCTATCAAACGGATTCTCGGAAAAATGACTAATGCCCTTCGGTCTTCATTCAATGTCCTGTAAATTATCAACTTTTCGAAATATCTTTTTTTCGGTGCCACGCGCAAGACATGCGACAGGACTATGCTCTTCTCTTTTCGGTCAGCATTCAAAGCTATTGCCATATCTCCTTTTATATTCTGTATCCTTCTGTACGCCGTTTTACTTGCTGCCATCAAACCATGTAGCAAACAGGGCGGTAGCGTAAAGTGCTAACGCTCTATCTTTTAAAGATGATGATTTTCTTGTACATTTATGCAGAGCAAGTGCTGCTGATAAATGGGAGTAAATTTCGTCAATCGAATACAATTGATTCCCAACTGCAGGTGGTCATCACGAGATTGCTGGAGGATTTTGTTAATAAGGGTTCTGCTTCAAGAATTCTTTAAACGCACCATGAATAACCCAGATTTCACCCAAATTTACCTTACCAAAGGATCTTAATTGTGCTTCTGACATCTCCGGAACATCTATTCACAAAAAATCGTAAGTTTACGACTACGACTTGAGCATAATCCTAAGATAAAAGTTACGAGCTATTCACGAAAGTGGTCGTAAGTTTGACACATTGTCGTAAGTGAAAATCAGTCGTAAGATTTTCTTTTCCCTAGTTACCGACAACTGCTCATGTGCAGGAAACGTAAGAAATGCGGGAAACCCGGTCGATGACGCAATCTTGATGTACAGTGATGTCGCCTCTAAATATACCATTATTGATTTTTCAGTTTCCGACTAATTCGTATATATTTGAAATGTTGTTATCAATAAGAACATTTTGAAAATCAATTATTTATACATATTTGTTAAATTCACTGCAACAAGACTGAAAAAATAAACACGTATGCACATAAGTTGTAGGTAAGTATTGTTCAAATTTATATAAATAGTAAAACTGTTATTTTTTTTTTTAAAAAGCATGCCCTTGCAATGTATGGTGTTATAGAGGCTATTGTGTGTTTGTTTGTGTGTCAGGAGGGAGGGTTAAGAGGGTGAGCGCGTGCGTGCATAACGGAAGTTTAGCAAGTAATAATTCATATCAGGATCGATATGCTTTTTGCCCTTGTTAAAACAAAGTCATTTTCTAAATAAAATCATTAAAGAAATTAGCGCCATAGTCTAAAATATTCACACTTAATTAAAACAATTTCACAAATCACAAAATAAATTACTGTGAAATCATGTTTTGTATAGGAAAAGTACAATTTAAGCATTAATAAACGACCATTTTTAGCTAAAAAATGTTTTAAAATTTTATTCAAAGACCTCTTTCCAAGATCTAGCAGTTGGAGAATTACAAATTCGATCAGAAGATATCAAATACTTGCATTCAGACAGTAAATTAAAAAAAAAACATTGACCACACAAGCAGAAATTTTTAGCGAGAATGCAATTTGGGTACAGTGTCCATATATATAGCTAGATTGTTGAAATCACACACATAAAAAAAATCACCTACAATTCATTCCATATGAGAAGTTATTTTTTAATACATGTACGTATTTAATAAATTTTCATCTCGCTACAGATTCATTTACATATATATTTTATCTAATGCATGGTGATTATTTGTCCATTTCATAGTGAAACAAGATGTGTTTGTGAAACACTGATGCCCCCGTATGACAACATAGCGAAGGTTAAGCTTTCTCTAATGCTGATCAATTATGTTGGTATCTTAAGTAAGGCCTTTTCAGAAGAAATACATATGTAAAGTAAAAAACCCTAGCACCACCTGTTCAAGGGATATGATCAAGGTAAACATTTTCAAATGAAGGACAAACTCTGGGTCAAGGTTAAAGGGTCAATGTTGTTGGTTTCTAATGAAAGGCCTTGTCTCAAAGATTACATATGGTAAGTATGAAAGCAATGACCCTTACTGTTCAATAGATATGGCCAAGGTGAAAATTTGTAAAAAGAAGGTCAAACTCCAAGGTCAAGGTCAAAGTTGATGATATCCAATGAAAGGTCTTCTCACAAGGATTACATATTTGAAGTATGAAAGCCCTAGCCCTTACCGTTCAAAGTTATGACCAAGGTTAAAGTTTTTTCATAAGTACGGAAATCTCCAAGGTCAAAGTCAAAATTCTTGGTTTTAAATGAAAGGTCTTGCCAAAAAGAAGTGATATTTGAAAAATGAAATTCCTAGTAACTACCGTTTAAAAATTATGACCAAAGTAAAAATTTGCAATGTTTGTGTAAAAATCACAAGAATTGAATATGTGAAGCATAAAAACCCTAATACTAACCCTTCAAAAATTATGGTCATGGTTGTATTTTAAAAGTAAGTCAAACTTCAAGGTCAAGGTCAAAGGGTCAAGGTTCTTGGTATCAAATAAAGCGTTTTCTCACAAGAATTACATATGTGAAGTATGAAAGCCCTAGCACTTTTAATTTAAAAGTTATAGCCAAGGTTAAAGTTTTTTTGGTAAGTACAAAAATCTCTAAGGTCAAGGTCAAAAGGTCAAGGTTGTTGGGATCCAATGAAAGATTTTTTCACAAACAATATACATGTCAAGTATAAATGTCCTGGTATCTACCGTTCAAAAGATATGGCCAAAGTAAAAGTTCAAAATTTTTGTGTAAAAGTGGGTCAAACTCCAAGGTCAAGGTCAAAAGGTCAAATTTAGTGGTACCCAAAGAAAGGTCTTGTCACAAGGAATACACATGTGAAATATGAATGCCATAGCTCCACTAGATCAAAAGTTATGGGCAAGGTTAAAGTTTTTGCGGACAAACAGAGAAACAGGGAGACAGATAGACAGACAGAGAGACAGACGGACACGGCAAAAACTATATACCCCCGAAACTTTGTTTACGGGGGCATAAAAATAGGTAACTCTTGAAAATAGTAGATAGTTCTTTCGAAGACTTATATTAGTAGCGCCCCATTCAGTATGTCCTAGACAATAAGTTAAAATGTTTTTTTCACCACTTTTGCAGGGAATTCAACCAAGCTCTTATTTTTTCAGTATTTCATAAAAGGCTACCCCCACCCCCCCTTTTATGGGATATATATATAAGATCTGAAGTACCCGGGGAGGCGACGTACAACTTGATTGTATCCATCATGCAGGGACGGAAAATTTTGATAGGTGCAGAGAGCGAAGCCGATTGAGAAAATGGTGAAGATGGGTTCAAAGTCAGTTAACCATCACAAATAACTGAAGGCAACATAAAATTAAAAGTTGTATATAACAAAAATGAATATAGTTCTAAGGTATATTTATTTAAATTTGATGAGAAGCGACAGAAAACACATTCGATTCGAGGCTATAGAATAAATGTGAAGTTTTTTGATTTAATTTGAAAGTGAAATGATTTTATAATCGATATTGACGGTATACTAGTACATCTTGTCTCGGCAAAGTTAATTCTATAGTACGATTTTTCCCCTGATATCCCTGACATTAAAAAACGTACAATGTTTTCCTATAGTACATGTAGTATTTGCAGGCGTCGTATATCTGTTTTTATTACATATTCTTGAATAACAAAGTGACGGGTTCAAAAATTCTTTTTAAGTTAATACAATTAATAGATGAATATTATACCCCATTTTACATTGGAATTCGTGAAAATTGTGCCAGCACGTTTTTTTTATTCACCTGCAAGATTACGTTGCGATAATGTTGATAACTTAGGCATGTAGTGCCCCTTTTCTGAAAATTGTGTTGTTTTTTTTTTCATTCAAAGGCCAGCGATTATCCCCTACTTTGATAAAATTTACTTTTAGCAAACTACTCTAATAAATACGGAAGCCCGTTGAGGCCAGTTCAGAGAGAGAAATATTCTTATTGCGTTTAATCGCAATAATTATTGCGTTTAATCGCAAAACTTTGCGTTTAATCGCAATAA